CGGTACGGCCGTCGTTCGAATACCAGGTCAGTAGATGTTTGTGACGATGCTGGAATCATGTGTTGGTAACAAACAGTCGGTTCAGTCCGGCAAGCTGCAGCATCCTCTCACTATCGTCCGTTCGAGAGCCAAGCCCAAAACGACCAAGAAGGTGGCTGTTTGTCGGGTCACCGGGCCCAGTCCGGCCATTCCAGTCCCCGGCAACAATTAATAGATCACGGCGAGGGAGTCTTTCAACTAGCTCCTGTAGCTGTGAGTAGAAATTCTCTTTGTCTTGCTGTTCAGCCGCTGATGTAGGTGCATTCACAGAGACGACCGAGATATTCGTAAAGATGCCTTTTAGTCGAACGTAGGCCATTCGGTCGTTGACTGGTTCCCATGCCAGTAGTGCACGGTTGGCTTGTTCCGAGAGAGCAAATGCCACACCATGTCTACAAGATGAGTCGCGCGTACAACTGTGATACAGTGTGAGATGGGAATCGACTCCCGAGATTTTGATGTCTCGGGCGCCTGAATCGGGGAGTCGGACTTCGGACAGGCAACAAACATCCACGTAATATTCGTGGAGACTGTGCGCTGTTAGACATTGAGTACCAGGTTCCAGAAGTGTTCGCACATTCCAGCATCCAATACAAAGAGTCCGTTTTCGGTTGAGCAGTCCAGCTTGTATATTATTCGACCGCACCAACGGACAAGGGTTGTGAAGCGCGTCGGTTCCCGCGGACGCCGTAGCCTTGGTCGTAGTAGAGTAAGTAAACATATCATAAGATTTCTTGAGAATGTTGAATACAGGCGGGTCTCCAACAGCCGCTTGGAGTCCCCAACAGACTAATATCGTCTATAGTCCACTTGCACCCGTGCTCATGAGCACGCACAACTATGATGCAATTGATATCCGACTTGCGAAGAGTAAAGTTTCTTATTTGAGCCCAGCTAATGTACTCGTTTGACTGAAACGTTGTCTACCCACAGTCTTTTGAATACATTTTTTATATAAGAACGGAGTGTTCGAACAATCTTGTGAGGTTTTAATTGTTTCTGAGGCAACACATAGATGGGACCCTCTCTATGTCATTTCGCTTTTTTATCATGCCCTTGTACCCATCGCAGTTGTGAGTAGACTGAATTAGAACCTATAGTAAAATATTTACAGAATAGTAACTTCAAAAAATTACATTTTCCTCATTGCGTTTAAAGTTAAATCGCTACCTGCGGAACGAAGTTATTTAAGTCTTTCTATTTGGTAATAGCCCATTAATACTTCAGGGACACGAGTATTTACGTTCCAGCACACTGCCCAGTATCATTGTGATTTGTAGGGTGTCCTTTTGCTTTGACTATGGTTTCGAAGTGTTCGTTCTTCTCATCATCTCATGATTCCGTTTGAAGTTTTTATGCTTGGCAGCTTAGGGCATCACGACTTGTATTCCTACTGCTAGTCCAACCTTATTTTTAGTAGGATCGAGAAAAGTCACCATGACGATACTATTCAAATGCGCAAATACTGATAATTGAAAGCCGCCACGCCTGACAATTTGCAGTAATAGACCACCGATTTAGAGCCACTTCCTATGCCGAAAATCGAATACGATGAGTCCAAAAATCCCCTTAAATTCCTAACAAGCTGTATTGGTGGACGTTTACAGTCAACCTTTTCGCATTTATCTGGGTATCAGGAACAACTAAGCTCATTCAGCTGTCGACGAAGAACCTGCATTGACTGCTTTTGCCGCCTTTCTTGGAATCCAAGGTTTTTCTAAAAATGCCGTTGCAAGAAGTGTGAACTGTCTTTTGTGAGGTAAAATCGGCGTAGCTTACTCGAATAATCAATTTCGAATACCTGCTGTCGAGTATTTTCCACCTTCCACTTTTTTCATACCTACAACTTAGCCCTGAAAGACAATCAGTCCAATAGATATCTGGCACATGCAGATAACTTACGACTGATCGGTGCTTGACTAACACTGCAAACAGCAGTGATTCGGAATCACGTCCTTGCTTTCTTCATTCATAAATACCCAGGCTTGAAGATTTTTGGAAACGTTCACTTAATCAAACTGAGGGTTGTTAACGGTGAAAAGTGTAAAAGTGTAAACTCCTGTTTCTCAACACAACTTGAGAGTACCTTAACTTTCGTATCGCTGTCGGATAAGGTGGCTGGTTAATAGATATTGTTTATCTGCAAAATTGAATTTTTTAAGTCATGAAGGCTCGGTGGCAGCAAGGCGTATCGTGGGTGTATTGAAGGTAGCTTAAATGGCATATTGATGTAAATTCAACAGTGAGAACTGCGAAAATCGCTTTCGTGAAGCCATTCAATAACCCGTTTCTTTGGACTAGACAAACTACTTGGCGAACTACTTTGCATCCTATGGAAAGTACTTGAGTACGATAAATAACTGCATTTTTTGTGGACATATCGCCAAGCTCCATTATTCGCAACGGAGACTCGACGGAAAGAATCGGATACTGCAACGAAATTTACAAGTGCAGCGAGGATCGGACTCCAGCCATCAGGAAATAGTTCACTTTCCTAGACTGACTAAATTACCTAGTAGAATCAGGTCTGCAACTAAAAACGAGAATTGGTTGTATGATTTCGCGAATTCCTTCAGCCTGTGTGGACAAGAACAATTTTTCCTCCGTTGCCCTTAACTGTTTCGACCAGCACGCATCCAAGCTCCAATTTTACCCAAATACGGCGAGTCTGACTGGGTGCATGATCATAGTTAGAAAACCAGATCAGCAGCTGTTTTTGTCGATACCAAAGGCACGATTCAGTTACAAGTAGGTGATTCGGATCAGGACAGGTCAGCACACTTTGTGATTGTCCCATCAAGACCAAAAATTGTCTAATCAATTCTGGTCATCCTATTTACATTTTTTTTCAATTCTGAGATAACAGTGCTCAAAGTTGCACGTTCTGAGCTCACGTGAGATTCCTTAATTGAGAAGCCTTATTGACTCAGGTAAGGGACACCTACATGTCAGTTTTTACGCTTATTTGCTGTTACCAGGCAACGATGCCTCAACTTCATCCCAACCGCTTGAAATATGAACCCGACCTAATGTTAAAGTACTTTTTGTTGATGACAGCAAATAATTTAAAAAATGGCAATCTCAGTGTGGTTCTTTTTTTAATTAGTAGCACATGTCGTTTATTTGTTGCTTTTCACCACAACATTATGTTCGTGAGCTGTAGACCAGGACAGGGACAGATGGGTAAACGCAATTATCACGTAACCGTATTCCGCTCTCGATTTTTTGTGTGGTTACTTTATTCTGTGACTAGTTAGGACTGCCTGTAACGCCAGTAATATTTTCACATATATCCTTTCACCAGTCTATATGTGAGATCGCATTTTTCTAGATCACAGAAACTTTTACTTCCTGCCTCTTGCAGTACTGACATACTGTGACCTTCA